TCAAGACTTGCAGGTGGGGGGCAATGCCTGTCCACACCGCACCCCCTCCCTCCTGCTGGGGCTGCTGCTCGTCCTAAGCCTGCTTTCGGGGAGGTGGGGCGCGAGAAGGAAGAGACGGAATCAGCCTTGCTGCCCGGCGGCGGCAGCTCCCGCTCGGGCCGGGCGAGCAACAAGCGCCGGAGCGGGAGGGACGGGCTTGCAGATCCGGCTCCGGGCTCCCGGGGCGGGAGCGCAGCCCCTGGCATTTAAAGAGACAGGCGCTCGCTCTCGGAGCCCAGGTCTTTCCCACATGGCGCGGAGCCTCCGGGGTCCCCGCCCCCGCCCCGCCCACCTGGGCCTCGCGGCACCGCCCAGGCCACGCCTCCGCAACTGAGCAAGTTTAAATCCCGCTGGTAAATAATCAACCCGCCGGCTGGTCTGTCTCTCTGGGCGCTGCGGTCTGCGCCGGTCGCTGGGAACCCTGCTTGCCTTCTTAGAGCAAGGGCTTGCTGTCAGCTTGTTTTCCGAGCTGTGGGCTTTGAAAAGAAGTTGGAAGGCAAATGCCACCTGCCAGTCTAGAGATGAGACAGGGATTAATAAGAGTTTGGTGTTTATTCCTTTTCCCTTTCGCCTCTTCTTTCCCAGAGTGTTTGGAGAGGGAGGAACAGTCATTAGGAAGCAAATAGACGTTTGCTTCTTTCTTTTCTTTCCTAGAACGTATTTCTTGCCAAAGGTCACAGAAAAGAATTTTTTACTGAGACAGCTCGAGAAGAGTTTCAGTGTAGAGGTGCTTCCAGAATGAGTGCTGTGAAACTTTCTGGTAGGAAAAAAAAAATTCACTGAAAGAAAACAGTGTAAAACAGAAGGCAAACTTAATTACCGGCTTGCTTCCAAGGCCAGTGCTCTATTTATTAGATGTCCATCCCTGGAAGTTAGCACAAAGTTGATTTCATAACCTCAGTTGTTATTTCAAGAGATATCAGTTCGTTGGTAGTGAGAGAGAGCATTCGACTCTGGTTGTTTATCTTCCGGTAGAGGATGTAGGAATTGCCCAATTGTCTTTAAATTAAGTACAAAGTAGCAGAGGTCCGTGGTGAATGTATTTCCTTCCTGTTGACTGACAGAAGGAAGTGACAGGAGACAAGTATTACATGTTAACCTCCGCAAGAGGACACTCCCTCTCTCCCTGCTCCATGCTGGTTTCGTTTTTGGTACCTAAGATATGAGTTACCAAAGTGTTCTTTGTTTTTTAAACAAATAATGGGGGTGGAGGGTTGACAATAGACAAGCTTAGGCATGCTCTGGAACACCCAAACTAATTCGTGGTGGAATTAAGAATGCGACTCAAGACCTCCTCTACCCTGTTTTGCATCACTGTTTCTTTTGACTAAATTTTTCCAGGTAACACTAGTATTTATTCAGTGTGTATGCCAACCAATGGACAGGAATATACTAACCCTACTGCGATCCTTTTTAGTTTGAGAAGAAAAAAATCCATCTACTTATGTACTTTTGAGCCCAAACAATCAATATTGGTAGGGCTGTAATGGAAGTTAGTCCTACAGCAAGCCAAAGATCACAGTGTAAGTTAGACCAAAAAGAGGCTTCTGGGTGTCTGCTGTGCAGATTAAATTTAAGTATTTTCTGACCAGCCTCAGGCACTTGTGACCAGATGAGTCCCCCCTGGACCCTTTGATGACATGTGCTCTGGGGGCTGCTGTTACCTGGATGGTATTTGTCACTACCATTTGAACTCATGTAGGGACTCATTATACAGGGAGGAGTTAAGCTTACAGAGGCAATGTTGAGTCGTCCCATGTCTGTTAGACTGGGAAACCTTTGCTACCGTCAGCTGTGGTAGGCCACTTTGCCCCTAGGTGGTATTGGATAGGTTGGCTGGTGATGAGAGAATCCGTAGAAGGACACAATAGTATGACAGTTTGTTGCCACCACTCGGGCAAAGATCTAATGAGTAAGAAAACAATACCTACTTGTCTAGGTGTCTGTCTCGGTGTCTTGATGAGCTCTGTTCAGCTACACAGTAGTGGCTCAACAATATTTCTTGAACTGACCAGTATGAAGTCTCAGAGGGAACAGGCTCTGAGTCATCTTTATATCCGATGCCTGGAACTTAGTTAGTGCTCAATGAATGCTTAATGGATGCTTTATGGGAATTCTTGGCCATATTGGTAACCTGCTTCTTGTGTAGCTTCCTTCATTAATGCCTGTTTAGGGCCCAACCTCCTTCTGATCACCCGGGGCTTATGATCAGAGGTTACAGGATGGGTCCCAAACACGTTTTGTCCATCTCAAATAATTGTTTGATAAATTTAAATTAGCTGTCAACAATTTGGAGACTTGGGAAATGTCACATAAAAATTCAGATTTCCAGCTTCACTTGAAAAAGCTAACGATATGAGACCATCAGACCATCCCACCTTCCAGGATGGCAACAAAGAGCTAGAGCTGAGTAGTGGTTGTCTTGGAGATGAGATGTAGTCTCCAGTTGGCCCCAGTCCCTGTCCTATCCACCTCACCCACCTAGTTCCTTGGCTGGCCCTGAGCGTCTCTTTGTTGGCCACCTCTGCCATCCAATTTCTACACCACACATTGTATCGCTTGATTATATGTAATTCAGCTCTTGATCATATACCATCTGATATTCTTTAATTCATGTATTAAAAATGTCTTTTCTAGAGAGAAATTGATTCAAAATATATTTCTTTTTTTTTAATAATTTTATTTATTTATTTATTTTCCCCCCAAAGCCCCAGTAGATAGTTGTATGTCATAGCTGCACATCCTTCTAGTTGCTGTATGTGGGACGCGGCCTCAGCATGGACAGAGTAGCGGTGCATTGGTGCACGCCTGGGATCTGAACCCAGGCCGTCAGTAGCGGAGCGCGCGCACTTAACTGCTAAGCCACGGGGCCAGCCCCAAAATATATTTCTTGAAGGCCTAGTGGGCACCTGCTAGTCTTACACACCACACATTCATTCTATAAGTACAACAGGCAATGTGCTAGGTTTTGTAGATATTCATGTCCCCATGGAACTCAGTGTAGTGGAGAAGACAGAGAAATAAGAAGACTCCTTAGGACAGTATGATGTGTCCTCCAGGAAGGGGAAGTAGAGGATGCTCAGGGGAAGTTTAAGGCATGTGGATGCAAAGATGAGTATCAAAGTGCCTGCCATCAGGGGTCTTGGACTAGTTGGAGTGACACAATTCTAAAATTAATAATGACAACTTACCATTGAGTGAATTCTTGATTCTATTATAAAGGAGACTTAGGTTTAAAGAGGGTAAGTGACTTCTCCCAGCTGATAAGTGGGACCATCTCACAGGTCTGCTTGACTTCAAGGCCTGTGCTCTTAACCACTTTGTTTTAGATAGAGACAAACACATTCTTCAATATTTGACAAATAGTTGAGTGTCTGGTTTTATTGGGCTCCAGAGATAAAGCCACAGACACAGTAGACAAAGTCCTTTCTTTTATGGCTTTTATATATTGATGGGAGGAGACAAGTGACAAGTAAGTAATTGAATAAGAATTTCTGAGAGAGATCAGGGCCATGAAGAAAATAAGATAGGGTAATGGGATTGAGGGACTGTCACTACAGAGGGGGTGGGGGGTGGCCTACTTTGGATAAGATGATCAGAGGTGGACTCTCAAGGAAGTGGAACTTGAGCTGAGGCTTGAAGGATGAGAAGGAGCTGGCCTTAGCATTCCCTCCGCAGGGAATGCCAAGAGCAAAGGCCTAAGGTGGGAAGGATTTGGGGTGTTTAGGAAAAAGGAAAAAATAACATTGCAACTAGAGCACAGGGAGTGAGTGGAGCTGTGATAGGAGATGCCATTAGGAGCTGGAAAAGCTTTGGGGTTTTAAGGTTTCTGGCCACCCTGTGGAAAATGGACTGTAAAGGGAAGGGAAACGAAGCACATCCCTCAGAGGACCAGGCTGTGGGGAAGAAAGGCATTCCACACAAAGGATGAAGCCAGGAAACCACCTTCCCCAAGAGCAGTGGCTAAGTAAAGAAATGTTCCTTGGATTTGAATTCTCAGCTGTACTGTAGCTTCATCCCCCAGCAGTGACCCCCAAGTGTCACATCCCACACACCTCCTCGGAGGAGGCGCTCAATAAAAACAAGTTGTGTTGAATGCCAGTTAGTCACTCTCACAGTATTCCTGTCCAGAGCAGTGGGAAATAATTGAGAATTGACGTTTCTACTTGACAAGGCATCAGCCCTGACTCTGCAGGTGTGGTCGGGATCTCGTTTTAAATGGCTCACTCCAAGAATGTACAAAACAGGAGCACGAGGGCAGAATTATCTGATTAGGCAATCTGGAACTCTGCCTGTTCCCCGGCTGGGCCTCAGGCCCATGGCAGAAGCAGATAGCTGAGTGAGTTTGCTGGAAAACAGGTTCCTCCACAACTCCATTATATTGGGAAACTCCCAGACTTACCTGTGCCCGTCGCCCACTGCTGGGGTTTTGTTGAGACCTTAGGAGATAAGTGGTAGCAGAATGGAAACAGATGACCTGGGTTGGAGTCTTGTTTGCCAGATGTGTGACCTTGGAGCCATCTCTTCTCCACTCCGGGCCTCCTTTCCCAGTCTCTAACGTGGGGCTGATGATACTACTTGCCTCATTTTTTAATCTTCCAATGAGACAGTGTATGTGGAAGCACCTTGTAAATCCTAAAGGCTGTGTAGACGCCAGGCATTATTTACACACCATGTAAGAGCCAGATGATTTTTTTGTGTGTGTGAGGAAGATTGGCTGTGGGCTAACACCTGTGCCCATCTTCCTCTACTTTATATGGGATGCCGCCACAGCATGGTGTGACGGACAGCGTGTCGGTGCGCACCCGGGATCCGAACCCCAGGCCACCGAATCAGAGCATGCGCACTTAACCTCTGCGCCAAGGGCCGGCCCCCAGATGATGCTTTTAATATGGGGAGCAAAAGGATAACCATTTGTTGTGAGCATTGTCTTACTAAATCTCCGTACGAATCGTGCTTTTTACATTTCCAGGGTGAGAATAAAAGGCCAGGGATATGAATCTTTCTGATGGTAAGTGGGCGAAGCTGGACTCAAATCCAGATCGGGCTGGCTCCAAGTCTACTTTTCACGCTGTGTCAATCTACCTCAGGAACACCAGCGTATGTTTGTTCATCCAGACACTGGCCAGTCCAAGGACCAGGGGGCTCGTGGGCCTTCTGGATGTAGAGTGCCCAGCTTGTCCCGGTTTGCCTGGGCCTCTCCTGGTTTTAGCACGGAAAGGCCCATGTCCTGGGTACACTGGGACAGCTGGCTGCCCTACCTGCCTGCCTCTCTGTCCTGGTCATCACCTTCCCTGAACCAAGGGCTTTCATAGACGGATCTGGGGAGATTGTGGGGCGTAGAACAGAGAAGGGAGAGGGGAGCAAGGAGAGTCAGGTGTCCGTCCCAACTTCACTCTCATAAAGGGCCTCCATTGTCCAGTCGAGGTTACCCATACAGCAGCAGCTGCATGAACAGGGCCATCCAATAAGAGACAATAAGTGTTGTAACCTGCTTTTGGCATTCATACTTTTTTTAAAAAATCTTTTATTGAGGTCATATTGGCTTATAACATTGTGTAAATTTCAGGTGTACATTATTATATTTCAGCTTCTGTAGACTACATTGTGTTCCTCACCGATAGTCTAGTTTTTATCTGTCCCCATACACATGTGCCCCTTTAGCCCTTTCACCTGCCCCTTACCCCCTTTCCCCTCTGGTAACTACCAATCTGTTCTACTTATCTCTGTGTTTGTTTGTTTATCTTCCACATATGAGTGAAATCATACGGTATATGTCTTTTTCTATCTGACTTATTTCACTTAGCATAATACCCTCTAAGTCCATCCATGTTGTCACAAACAGGACGATTTTGCTTTTTTATGGCTGAGTAGTATTCCATTGTGTGTGTGTGTGTGTGTGTATATATATATAGCACATCTTCATCCATTTATCCATTGTTTGGGCAGTTATATTGTTTCCAAGTCTTGGCTATTGTGAACAATGCTGCAAAGAGCATAGGGGTGCATAAATCTTTTTGAATTAGTGATTCCATGTTCTTTGGATAAATACCCAGCTTGCCACTCTTGTTCAACACAGTACTGGAAGTTTTAACTGAAGCAATTAGGCATTCATTCTTTTTTTTTTCTTTTTTTAATTGGATTCTTCACAAGACATGAGGGCTGGGCCTGTCTCCCCTTTGAGAGGTACTGGCCCACAGCTGCTCTCTTCACGCTCCCAGCCTGCCTGTCTTGAGCTTTAAAACCTGCATAAAGAGTTTTGCACTTTGGCTGAATTATTCCTTGACCTTCAGATTAAGGAAGGGAACACAGAGGCTGCTGAGTGGCATCCCTATCCTTAGCTTCTATATTTTATTTGCTTTTTCCCTCAGATCACCAGAGTGGGCTCTCTCAAGCAGGCTGGGCCAGAGCTAGTCTGCCTTGTGGGGAGGGGTGATGAGATGCCCTGAGAAGGGGTCTGGAGGCTGTTGCCCAACCCTGATCATCAGCTCTCCATGCATTAATTCTGTGGCTAAATTGTGAGGAAGCTTTTAATCCTTTTCCAGAAGACGGCTCACCAGTGGGAAGGCACAGAGGCCCATCCCTCCTGGAGGTTTGCTGTTTTAGGAGGCCCCTGACGTCATGTTGTTGATGTCAAACCAGAGTTTGATTTGTGCTCCTGAGTCTGAGCTGGGTAGCTGGGCTCCTGCAGAAGCCTCATGAAAGATGCATCTCACCAGGTGGTTCAAGGGGAAAGACGGGCTTAAATTACAGCTCTGCAAATCCAAATATTGGCATATCTGCAAATCCAAATGTAGGGATTTCAAAAAAAATCTAAATTCTCAGAATCTTATTTTGTACTTCTTGTGCAAGAAGGAGAGGATGAGATATTCAGAGAGGAGACAGGCTGTCAATAATGAGAGAAGCTTCTGCAGAACAAACCCAGCCTCCTTTTCTTTCCTTAGGCATTCTTCATGCTCCCAGGGCAGAAGAGCTCCAACATGAGAGAGGAAGACAGCATTTGTTCAGCATGGCTTTCTGCTGGGTGGATTAGATTAGTGGGACTACTCACCCAGTATTTGCGGCATAGGGCTCAACAAATCTGGTTGGTCAATTTCTGTCTGCTTTCCCCAAACCACTTCTAGGTCTATTCACAACACAGCATCCCCCAGCAATCCTGTGAGACTGTGAGCCAAGCCAAGTCACTCCTCTGCTCAGAACCCTCCCATGGCTCCCCATCTCCCTTGGAGAAGGGCCAAAATCCCTAAAATAGCCCCCAAGGTCCTGGCCTATCTTCTCCATTACCTCTCTCACACCCCCTCACTCACACCTCCTGACACACTGACCCCTTGCTGTTCCTCCCTCAGGGTGGGCATGCTTCTCTCTCATGGCCTTAACATTTGCTGTTCCTTCTGCCTGGAATACTTTTTGTCCAGATATCTTCATGGTGTCCTCTTTAAATCTTGACTCAGATGTTAGCTTCTTGGTGAGCTTTCTCTGACAACCTATTTAAAGTTCCAAATGTCCTCCCATAATACCCTTTATCCTCTTTCCTGCTCTCTTTCTCTATCACTTATTTGACTCACTTATCGCCTTTTACTATTCTATATGATTTATTAATTTATTTTTGTTTGTTATCTCTCCCAGTTAGACCATAAGTTCTAGGAAATAAGGGATCCTTGTTTTGTTCCTTGCGGTATCCCCAGCTCCTAGAACAGTGCTTGACAGGATCAGTAACTTGTAGTTAAAAGAATATATGAAAGGGCTTTTTATGAGTCATCTCTATTCATCCTCACAACAGCTTTAATGGTGTAGGATTATTTTCAATTTACAGATTAGAAAATTAATTATAGAATTTACTAAATGCCTACGGTGTGCCAGGCACTATACTAGGCAGCTGAGTTTCAGAGGGGTTAAGAAATTGGGCAAGGTAACGCAGCTAAGTTCACCAAGAAATTATAGCTCTGTACCATCCAACATGGTAGCCACTAGTCTCATGTGGCTCTTGAGCACCTGAAATGTAGCTAGTTTGAAATGAAATGTGTCATAATGTAAAATGCACACCAATTTTATAAGACTTAGTACAAAAAAAGTAAAATATCCTACTAATTTTTTTATATTGATTACATGTTGAAACTATAATGTTTTACATCTATGGGGTTAAACAAAGTATATTATTAAAATTAATATCACCTGTTTCTTTTTACGTTTTTTAATGTGGCCAGTATAAAAATTTAAATTACATGTGTGGCTTACATTTGGCTCTTCTAGCTATTTCCATTACATCTTGCATCTCTATCATCTTCAAGTATATTGCCTCTTGGACTCTTGAGTGCCAGAACACAGTGACTTTGTCTTCCCTATGAGGATCAAAGCAAAGATGTGCAAAATGCATCCACAAGTCTCCAAAGTATTAAGATACCTGTTATGAACTGTTTGTGTCCCCCCAAAATTCGTACATTGAAGTCCTAACCCCAGATATGATGGTATTTGGAGGTGGAGCCTTTGGGAGGTAATTAGGTTTAGATGATGTCATGAGGGTGGGGTCCCCGTGGTGGGATTAGTGTCCTTATAAGAAGAAGAGACACCAGAACTTCCTTTCTCTGCCTTGTGAGAACATGGTGAGAAGGTGGCCATCTGCAAGACAGGAAGGAGGCCCTCACCAGAAACCGACTGTGCTGGCATCCTAATTTTGGACTTCCAGCCTCTAAAACTGTGAGAAAATAAATTTCTGTTGTTTAAGCCACCCAGTTTATGGTATTTTGTTGTGGCAGCCCGAGCTGCCCAAAGGAATACCTAAAGACTGAGTGTCTCTCTCTATGAGAGATATAATCTCTCATAATCTCCATGAGAAGCAAAGGGAGAGTTGAAGTGGCCTCCAGGGGTGATGTGTCTTCAGAACCTTCTACTAAAGCAGAAAGTCCCCTGCACAATCTTGAGAGTGTGGTCTGTGAAGGAGGAACCCCCAGTATGATGGAGGTGGATGAGGCTGGCTGTCACAGAGCCAGGACACCCACCAACACCAACGAACATGTTCTACTCTCTTCTACTCCCTGTCAACTGAACAACTGTCTGAGGGGCATTTGGTGTCCATATAGACATGCTTATAAAGAATAAAAGTTGACCTAATAATTACATTTATTTTTGTCAGTCAATAAGCTGGGAGGCTAGTTTTATGCCTCTGATTCTGGGGGCTGAGTCCCTCCACTTTCAATGGGTTGGCAGAGTTGGGTTTCTGAGCCTTCGAGCTTGAGGATCATACCTCAGATGGTAGAGAATTCATGAAAATGCTAACAAACAAATAAATAAGATAGTAGCAGCTAACATTTGTTGAGTGCTCACTGTATCCAGCACCATTCTAAGAGCTTTATATGTGTTCACTCATTTAATCCACACCTATGAGGTAGGCATTATTATCATTATCCTCATTTTACAGATGAGAAGTCAGAGGAATAGTAAATTTAGGTATCTTGTTTGTGGCAACACTCTGGTAATTTGCAGAGCCAAGAGTCAGACACTATACAGTGCCACAGAGTGGCGGTAACCTCTGATCACCAACCTTGCCCAGACAGTAACCAGTATGGCTGAGTTCTATTGTTTTCCTACTCCACATTCCTCTTGGTCTCATCTGTGGCTCATGAAGCCATCACCTGTCACCTTTGTACTCATTCATGAGTCTGATTCTTCATCATCCTCTGCCTCATCTCCTGCCAGTTTCCCAATTGCCCATGATGCTCCAGCCACACCAGTCCTTGGCTTCCTGTCCACACCAAGCTCATGATTGCCTCAGGCCTTGACATTCTGTGGGCCTAGAATGTTCTTCATCTTACTCTTCATAAAGCTAAATCCTTTACATTCTTTATGCCTCCAGTTAAGTCAAGTCCTTAGAGAGAGCTTTGCCAACCAACTTGTGAACCCCCTCATTCTTCCTCGGCCCCTGTTTGTTCCCTACACAACACTTATTCCAATAGCGATTGTATTTGCTTATTTACTCATCATTGCCTGTCTCTCCAGGAGCCCAGATTTTGATATGTCACCATTGCACCTCCATTGTGCAGTGTAGTGTCCTACACATAGTAGATGCTTAACAAATATGTGCAGAGTAGGGACTGCACATATTCTTTGGACTAGCCAGATATTCTCATTCTGTATGGGTCAAGAGAAAGTTTTCTTCAAAAATCAATTTTGAGTTTCAAGTATGTGGTCAGGTTCACAAACTAAGGTGTTAAATGGAACCAGAAGGAAGCTGATGCAGTAAAATGGGTTAAGGAGGAGAGATTTAAAAAAACAACAACAAGAAGAAAACAGTAAGGACATATTAAGGAGAACAAATATCAAGAAAGGATTTGCTCAAATTCGTTGCATTCTGGGTTGACTTCCAGTTTCTTGAATGAGTTATCTGGCTGGACTGCATGAGTGAAGGATGGATGGAGTTCTCCCATTATGTGTTGAGGACTTAGCTTTGATCTAACCCTTCCCTGGGCCCTGTGGCTGGGGCTGAATGTGCACCACTGTGTATGGCAGTCAGCTGCTGTGCGTTGCAGTCCAGTTCCACGAATTCTTATTGAACACCTAGTTTATGTTGTTCATTGTTCTCACTTGCTATACAAAGGGACTAAAACCCGATCCTTGTCCTCGGGGAGCTCACAACCCCATCACACCAACTAGCATCTACTGAACAACTTAGTAGATGTTCAGTAGTATTTTTGAAGTAATGGATTAAATAGGCATAGAATTAGACTTTTGTCTTAAGAGTCCTGAAAGCAGTTGGGGATGCCAGACAAGGGATACTTAGAGACTGAACCAAAAGTATTAGTATATAGGCTTTGTTTACCTAGCTTTTGCAAATTGGAGGGCCTATAACCACTCTGTGCATAGCTATTGTAAGGGAGGAAAAAAATACTTGTACTCTACCTATCTTAGGTTCATTGACTGGGGCCCTCAAATTAGACTGACAAAAGGCAGATTAATAAGAGAAAAACAAATAGAAGTTTATTAACACGTGCATCACGTATATATGTGGGAGCACTCTGCAATGAGTGGATGAAAGGGGTGGTTAGAACTTGAGCTTATATAGCATCTTAGCAAAGAACAATAATTTTGTAGAAAAGTGATACGACAAAGGAAAAGGACTTTGAACTTCTAGGGGCAACAAATTGTGGGAAGGCAATATATGGGGAAATTAATGGCAGATAAGGGCTAGTTAATAAGGTTTGTTTATGTAGATTCTTTCTCAGTGCTATCTTGTCTCCAATGATAAGGTTGTTATCCCCTTCTTGGTGCTGGAACTGTTACCGCACAAAGGGCACAATCTGCTGGCCTGAGAGAAAGGCCAATCGTCCAGAAGCAAGATGGTGGAAAAGAAAGGGCAGTTTATTACAGCTTGCTAGCAAGGGGGAAGATGGCCAACTAATGTCTCAAAGAACCATCTTACAGAACAAAACCCACAGGCCAGTTATATAGAGGGCTGGTGTCGAAGTGGGAGAGGCATCTGGTCCCAGGGTGGGGGCATCCATCTGATTACTGGGTGGAGGAATCTGGTCTCAGGGTGAGGGCATTCATCTGGTCTTAGTTCCTGACAGTCTTTTGCTTTACTTGTTATGCATCAGAAATTGGAGCAACGCCCTACACCCTGATCTTTCAGTTGTCATTGATGATGGCTGTCAGCATAGACTCTCTGCCCAAGGGTCATCACATCACATTCCTAAGGAACTCAAAAGAACAAAGTTATCAACTTATAGCAGCTGGGAGGGGCCATAAAGTCTAGAGTTAGTCAGAGGTCATTCCAAGTCACAATATGGTTTCTCCTCTATAATATGGCTTCCTTATGTCAACCCTGTATTGAGGCCGTATCAGAAATGGGGAAGGGGACACCTTAACAAGGGGGATTTATGTTTGTTTTCAGGTAGATAGGGGGAGAGCAGAGAGCTTTTCTTGTATCTGCTGCTTCTCAGTTGCTTTCAACTCAAAATAATCTTTGTTCCAAAGTGACATATTTTGGGGTAGCATATTATGCCATTCTTCACTATGAACCAGCAAAAAAGATGAGGTCTTGTCTCTGAGATGACAGGAAGCTTTATTCTGTGCCAGGTACTGTGCTAACTATTTGTAATCCTTACCTGGTTAACCCTCCTCATAACCTCACATGTTCCATCATTATCCTAATTCCCATTTTATAGATGGGGAAAGTGACTTGTCAGAAGTGACTCGTCCCTATCACAGAGCTGGGAAGTCAACCAACGAACAGGATATGGACCCAGGCAGGTCTGAATCCAAGTCTCACTGGACATGGCACCTTGGCAGTCCAACCACAGTTTGTCACACTGATTTCACAAAACACAACAGGAGATCCTTGGTAAGACAAAATGCAGCCAGTAACTAATGTTTCTTTTTCCTTTTCCTCCTCCTCTAAGTGGGGCATGCTTCACCCCGAGCACCTAGCCCTAGGGTGTCAGACAGGTTTCTTAGAATTTAGCACACCTATCCTGATTTCAGAAACAGACTGATAGAAGATGGCCCCATTGGGAAAAGGAACCTGAACTTTCTATATAAGGATAGCCCACGGAGAACAACCTGGGGACCCTGACTAATTTGACAAATGAATGTATTACCGTGGGAGGATCTGAGTCATTAGAGCTTTGGGGACATGCCAACTAAGATAAATAAATTGGATTTCAGTGTGCTGTACTGAATCGCTACATCTCTGCAGGCACTTAAACACAGCAGCAACCTGAGCATGGAGAAGTCTGCCATTTTGGCAAGGTCAAAGAGATTCCCATTCCCACTAGGCAAATTTCCCTCACTTAGTGATTTACAAATTCGTGTCCCAATTTCCCAATTGTCAGGGACAGGATCAACCTTTACCACCACTGTCCTGAGCCCTTTTCCTTCCATTGTTCACAAGCCCTAGGGGCTTCTGCCTCCTGAGTCATTATGTAAATGACTTTCCGGCAGAATCTAACAGCCATTAACCAGGAACACTCCACTTTGAAGGTCTCTAGTTAACTAGATTTCTGCTTAACTGAAGGTTAAATAAAACCTGCCTAGGGCCAGCCTGGTGGCTTAGCGGTTAAGTGCGCACGCTTCGCTACTGGCGGCCCGGGTTCGGATCCCGGGCACGCACCGACGCACCGCTTCTCCGGCCGTGCTGAGGCCGCGTCCCACATACAGCAACTAGAAGGATGTGCAACTATGACATACAACTATCTACTGGGGCTTTGGGGGAAAAAAAGGAGGACTATTGGCAATAGATGTTAGCTCAGAGCCAGTCTTCCTCAGCAAAAAGAGGAGGATTAGCACGGATGTTAGCTCAGGGCTGATCTCTCACAAAAAAAACAAAAAACCTGCCTTGTTTCATCCCTTGTTATTGAAAATCTTTTTGAACTGTGTTGGTTCAATCACCTGCCTAAGTTTCTGGAGCAGAATGAAAATAATTACATATTTGCTTGAGGATCAGACATCTTGCAGAGCCTTGGGACCCTATTTTGCCTAACGGTTGGGATTAAAATTTCACTGCAGTTGTAGACTTTTATGAGAAATTGGGCTCTAACTCTTCTAAATTGAAGAAGAAATTAATTTAATTTTGTTGAGAGAAGAGCAACATTTTGCCCTCCCAGTGCCTACCAGAGTGTTAGGAGCATTTTCTCGAAAATGCTGGTGGAGTCAATGAATGCCTGAAATGAATTTATTTCGTGCAGTTTTTTTTCCCTAATAATAATTGTATCAGCTCTTTCTTGATTGCTAGTGATTTTTGCAAGTGTTATCTAAGTCCTTGTATGCTTTATATCATTTCATCCCATGTTGTCATACAGTGGGTGGGCTTTATTCTACAGATGAGATAAGGGAGCCTCAGAAATGTTGAGTGTCTTGGCAGAGGTTCTGATACCAGCTCAATACAAGGTTGACATAAGGGAAGCCATATTGTAGCAAAGACACTATGTTGTGACTTTGAATGACCTCTGACCAACTCTGGACTTTATGGCCCCTCCCAGCTGCTATAAGTTGATAACTTTGTTCTTTTGAATTCCTTAGGAATGTGATGACCCCTGGGCAGAGAGTCTATGCTGACAGCCATCATCAATGACAACTGAAAGATCAGGGTAGAGGGCGTTGCTCCAGTCTCTGATGCATATCAAGTAAAACAAAGGACTGCCAGGAACTAAGACCAGATCAGTGCCCCCACCCTGAGACCAGATTCCTCCACCCAGTAATCAGATGGATGCCCCCACCCTGCGACCAGATGCCTCCAATAATCAGATGGATGCCCCCACCCTGGGGCCAGATGCCTCCCCTACCTGGAGAGCAGCCCTCTATATAACTGGCCTGTAGTCTTTGTTCTGTAAGATGGTTCTTTGAGACATTGGTCGGCCATCTTCCCCCTTGCTAGCAAGCTGTAATAAACTGCCCTTTCTTTTCCAAAGCATTGCCTCTTGACGATTGGCCTTTGTCTCTTGGTGAGCAGATAGTGCCCTTTGTGCGGTAACAGTTCCAAAACTAGGAAGGGACAAAACAGAACTCACATTACTTGAGGGGTTTTATGGATGGCGGTCTCCATCTGCATGTGGGGCTATACATGCAGGACTGCCCTAAAACCAGAAGGAAAATGGAACCTATAGGAAATGGGAATTGAGATGGGATGGACACATACACACACACATACACACACACCCCATCTGTTGGGAGCCAGTAGAGTGGAGTAGTTTAGAGAAGTGATTTTCAAAGTATCTGTGGGGAAGGACCAGGCTGTTTTGTTTGTTTAGTCTGTTTATAATTTCCAACTTTTTGTGAACGGATATCTTTGTAAAATAACGTAGGTATAAATTACTAGAGAGATGAAGCAAACATAATAATAAATGACATACAAGCCCCATTTTATTATCATTGTTATTAGATTCATCAGACGTAAAATAAGTGTCAAATAGTTATAAAATTTCTAGCGGCTCACTCCCAGTGTCTGTTCTTCTTTCTCCGTGGACAAGTAGCAAACAGTTGGTGGATCAACAGAGATGCTCACATTCCACTCTGTGGCACTGGGTCACACCTACCCTTGTTTCTCCAACGGTGGCCTTTGAACATTGGGCAGCATGGGCCTCACCTGGGAGCTGAGCTTCTTGGAAATGCAGGATCTCAGGCCCCACCTGTGACCTGCTGTATCAGAATCTGCCTTTTAACAAGGTCACCAGGTGATTGGTGTATGTTAACGCCTAGGAAGCACTGACTTAAAACAGGCTCTGAAGTCTGACCACTGTTTTAATCAAGCTCTACCTCTTACATCTGTGTGACCTTGGGCAAATCACTTGACTTCTCTGTGCTTCAGTTCCCTAGTTTTAACAGTGCACCCCTCTCTGGGCTATTGTGAGCACTGCCCGGAAATACACCTGGAGGGTTAAGGCTGGAAGAGAGTTCAATGGAGCCTAGCCAGGAGCCTAGCACTCCAAGGTAAGGGCTCCATAGCTATTGCTGTTGATATTGTTAATGTTTTTTTTAAAAAAAATTCCCTAGGGCCCAGCCTGGTGGCGCAGTTGTTAAGTTTGGTGTGCTCTGCTTCTCGGCTGGGGTTCGCAGGTTCAGATCCCTGGTGCCAACCTACACCACTCATCCAGCCATGGTGTGGCAGCAACCCACATACAAAATAGAGGAAGGTGGGCACAGATGTTAGCTCAGGGCCAATCTTCCTCACCAAAAAAAAAAAAAGAAAGAAAGAAAGAAAGAAAAAGAATTCCCTAGGCCATCCTTGTTGTCTTTGAGGCCTAGGCATCCAGACCAAGGATGTTTACTTTGATGGTTAAATTCTCTGCTGGCTGTATGGAGGGTTTCCCCTTCCCCTGCCTGATGTACATTATTTAAATAGCTACTGATGTCATTTAAAACCCACGTGGACAGGTTCCTCACCCCACTCAGGATCATCTGTTCCTACTAACCATCCTGAACTGGGTGAGTCTACAAGAGGCCCCGAAAGCTGGTAAGTTCTGGTTTCCCAGGCTGCCGAAGACAGATCTTACCCGGCTGGGTGGATCTTTCTGGCCAGTGGAGCCACTGCAATTCAGCTGGGAGAAAGGACACACAACTTGGAGGGTGGGGTTTCTGAGCCAGCAGTGACTCTGGTTGCTTTCTTTCTTTTCTTCGCTTATCTCTACAGATGAAAGCCTCTAGTGAGACCCATGATTCCATAAACCTGGAGCCAGGAAAAGACAGCAAACAAAAGTGAACAGTCAGCTAAGTAGAGTTTGCTGGAGATTTACGTGGAAACCTACCCACAGACACAGGGCTGCAGGTTTATAACAAGGGAAGGATAATTTGTTCTTGTGTGCTGAGATAAGGGTAAACAAATTTCATGCTGTGATGTAAGCCCCTGCCTGCACAAGTCAGGAAAGATTCTCTGCCCTGTTGCCAAATTACGTGCTTGACAAATTATCCTCAGAGAATTATTTCTCAGAGACTTCATCTAGAGGTCACGCTGGGGCCCAATTGCTAAAGGTGGAAACATGTGTCTGGGTGCAGAATAGGGGGACTCTTGTGTTTCTGTGCATCTGGAAGCTCCAAAATGAAAGTGGCCACGGCACTGGCTATAGTTTTTAGAAAATTCCGGAGAAAGGTTGGGGCGGTGTCAAGTAACTCTTCATGATCCCTGGGCATGATGGAAGAAATATGCCAAGAAATGTGTGTTTCTATTTCAGCCCATGCTTAGCCGCAGTCACACCCACCCTGGACCTGGCTCAGCGCTTTATATTGTCAACAGCAGGTAGACAAGTGTTCTGAGTCCCCAGAATTTCTCATCACACCTCCATGGAAGGAAGTCCTCACTGAGCGGCAGGAACTGGCTGGCTGTCTCCCCCACAC